AAGTATCCAAGTACGTAACAATTTCTGTTTCGATTAATAAAGGTTCCCAGGATCGACTTTCTCTTAACCTCGGCATTGGAATATGAATGTGTCGTTTTCTTGTTCAGCAATCGCGAGGTTTTTAAACAGCATACATTTACTTCCATAAAAACACAATACAATATAACACTAGCTGACGTTTCGGCAGTATCGCCTTCTTCAGAGCCTGGAAGGGTATACTGATATACAATCTACTAGGCCAAACGCTTCAATAACACTTACACAAAGACGAAAGACTCTTTGGTAATTACACGATCAACAGCTTCTCGAAAAACCCACCGCTTTTTTCGTGACTTCCAATGAGGAAATTTAGAACAGCTGATTATAGTCGCATGTGGTTGACGACTGCACCATCCCACATCAAAAATCGATGCGAACGTACGGGATCAGGTCGCGTATGACCTCCGGGCATTCGTCCCTGCTATTCATTGTAGGGTTTTCGGCATTTATCAAAAGAGCCTCAAGAAGTCTTCACGCTGGTGTTTTGGACTCCTGTGCAAGGATATTGACTTTTTCTTCAAAATCGTCTCCGCTATGCTTTTGTATCCTGTGCGTGCCTAGTGGGGTGCTTCGTCTTAGTTTTCGTTTGCCATCTAGGTGTTCTTTTATACGGATACACAAAGGTCTGCCCGTTTCGCCAATATATTCATCTCCGCAATTGTTACACGAGATCAGGTATATCGTACCTGAACTCATGCAATCACCGTCCCTGCCGTAAGGGCAAATTACGCAATTTGTTGTTTCACACAGACGGTCATACAGGCGGTTGCGAACTAATTGGCGACGTAGAGTAGTCGGTGGTATTTCAACTATCGCTACCAATTCCTCTAGACCTGCCCTTCTTAAGCATCGTTTTATAGCTGCGCTTACTTCATCGCTTATAAAAGGCAACATAAACGGGATTTTGTTTTGGCCAAGCGTTTCGCGTGGGCGCGTCGTTCTCCTTGTAAACTTATCTCGTGGGGTTACTATTTCGTAGCCATTGGAGATGGCTATTTGCCGAGCCAAGTCGCGCGATTCCTCCTTTAGTTCCCTGGTAGTGCACACAGAGGTGGCTGTTCGAAACATGTTTCTCACGATCGCCCTCTTTGTGTGTGAAGGGTGGGAAGAAAGGAAATGGACAAGGATACCACCGACTACTCTACGTCGCCAATTAGTTCGCAACCGCCTGTATGACCGTCTGTGTGAAACAACAAATTGCGTAATTTGCCCTTACGGCAGGGACGGGGATTGCATGAGTTCAGGTACGATATACCTGATCTCGTGTAACAATTGCGGAGATGAATATATTGGCGAAACGGGAAGACCTTTGTGTATCCGTATAAAAGAACACCTAGATGGCAAACGAAAACTAAGACGAAGCACCCCANGATACCACCGACTACTCTACGTCGCCAATTAGTTCGCAACCGCCTGTATGACCGTCTGTGTGAAACAACAAATTGCGTAATTTGCCCTTACGGCAGGGACGGTGATTGCATGAGTTCAGGTACGATATACCTGATCTCGTGTAACAATTGCGGAGATGAATATATTGGCGAAACGGGAAGACCTTTGTGTATCCGTATAAAAGAACACCTAGATGGCAAACGAAAACTAAGACGAAGCACCCCACTAGGCACGCACAGGATACAAAAGCATAGCGGAGACGATTTTGAAGTAAAAGTCAATATCCTTGCACAAGAGTCCAAAACACCAGCGCGAAAACTTCTTGAGGCTTTTTGGATAAATACCAAAAACCCTACAATGAATAGCAGGGACGAATGCCCGGAGGTCATACGCGACCTGATCCCATACGTTCGCATCGATTTTTGATGTGGGATGGTGCAGTCGTCAACCTCATGCGACTATAATCAGCTGTTCTAAACTTCCTCATTGGAAGTCACGAAAAAGCGGTGGGTTTTTCGAGAAGTTGTTGATCGTGTAATTACCAAAGAGTCTTTCGTCTTTGTGTAAGTGTTATTGAAGCGTTTGACCTAGTAGATTGTATATCAGTATACCCTTCCAGGCTCTGAAGAAGGCGATACTGCCGAAACGTCAGCTAGTGTTGTATTGTATTGTGTTTTTATCGATTAATAAAGTTTGTTTTGACCACACATATACCAATTTAAACCCATAGATTGAAAGTCCTGCATTAATTCCCGATTAACTTAATAGAACGGAAACAAAAAGACCTTAGCGGTGTGTTCGACGAGTTTCACAATGGGACGGGTTCTCATTTCGTCTAAAGAACCAGTAGCGTGAACACTTCTGAAAAGAAGACTCAAACATAATAAGGCTAAAATCCGAATTAAGCCAAAAATCCCACAGCATTTTTGATGTAACTACTCGTCGTTCAAGCGTTATTTCAAAGTCGGGTATCTGGAAATCGACTACAACCCTAGGCTCCATATCCACCATACATGACGCTAATGTTGACTTCTCCCACGCAACCTGTTTAACATGTGATATCACAAATAAACAACATAACAACTTCCTAAACGACTCACCGAAGCATTAAAGCTGACCCGATTTACGGCAAAGTCTGTTACTAATCGCGGAGTAAAGTGAAGCAGTTGTGCGGATAACACGGATGAATGCAGATTGAACGTTGTTCCTTCCTGATGGACAATTGATTTACGACCAATGTTTAAGGTTTACCGACAGAGAAACATATATATTAACACACGACATATACTCATAGGGTGACTAAAGATTCTGTCATTCTTCGTGTATGCTCCATTATATGTGTGGGACATAAATCTACGTTTTTTTCAGATCGATTAATTTCTTTGAAATCTGGATGCCCTACCAACATGGTTGGATGTCTTACTCTGCAAGAGCGTACCCCAGCTTGCAGCATTCTGTCAAGTTTAAAGATCCGTCTTTTTAGGTTCGAAGATGGTGGAGGATCATAAAAGGAAGATATGCTTAAGCTAACGCAAAGAAGATCAAGAATTTCCATGCAAAATTCGTGGATACGGGATCTGTAACTGATGCACTAGGAAGCGGTCGCCCTTGCAATTTCACTTATGCAAGTTGTTCAAAAAATGTCTACAGAAACGTGAGGAGGAATCCCTCAACTATATATCGCAGTCCGACACACAGGAACACCTCCCAGCCACGATGAGGCGGTAAACCGTAGGGAGGTTTTGTAAGGATTAAAGATAAGAAATGAGTTATAGGAATTCCAAAGAATTTTGAATCACCTTATGTAGATGACAGCGGGTCTGTACGACAGAGTTCTATGCTGTGCAAAAAAAAATATCTCAGTCTAACTGTAATCAACTGGTAGGTATAACCAGCTGGTAATAGATATTACTTCAATATTATGGTTAAAACGTAAAACTCACAAAATTCGCCAGACTTTTTGATGATATCGATGATTTCTGAAGCAGTACAATAGCCATATTTGAAGCGGTCTTCACTTCTCGTGCAACATCGCTGTGAAGCAGAGTACACTCAAACATTGAAACGTGGACACGCGGGAGATCAACAGATACGTTTAATGAAGGCGCCGGTTTAACTAAAACGGAACTTTACTTCTCATATGAGACCAAAAAAGCTATAGTTCCCACAAAGAAAAAAATAAAACCAAAAACGCCCTCTTCTCAGAAAGAACGTACTGGTTACGAAAAGTGATTCTGTCAAAGGTTGTCTATGCTGTTTACTAACACACTCCCGATAACACATTTGAACTAGCATTGACGGATGAATTAAGGACATAGATCGGGAAACATCCAGTATCAAACGATCCAACAATTCAACGGCGAGAGGGGTGAAGAAGATCTTAAAAATCATCTACATGCATAAATCATCTACACCATACCTCCATGGTATTGTTCAATCCTCTTTATTAAACTAAAAAAGAGGAGTACCATCGAAAAAGAAAGTAACTCAAAGATTTTACCTCTACCGTACTCGCTACACTTCCATTGACAACTAGCATGCTATTCAATGATTTCAACGGGACGTCCAGATTTGGATTCTCACTAATCATTTCACATGAGGCTATCTCATCCGATGCCATCACATGTGTTTTTGGAGAGCCTCCTTTCTTTTGTAGATATGTCAAATGCACATCTGCTATACCATCCTGAGCCTGAAATATTTCCTTTCCCACATTTAACCTATCTCACTTATCACTGTCAACTGTTTCAGACCACTATATCCATTGGAAAACTTACACGTTTATAGAAACAAAGCCTAAAACGAGTATATCTAACGAAAACCATGAAAGTCTGATGTCATTTAGTATACCTGGAAAAACTTGAAAACTCGAGATTGCACCCATCGACCAATCTCTCCCGGTGAACCAAATTGCGGAGTTTCGAGATCTTAAATAGCAAACAATGACAACTGAACAACCAACTGTCATCAGAAGTGATGTTCTCACTTGACTTTGCAATACAAAACTGATTCAGATACGAGCTGTAGACATCAATCAGTGGACGCACAGACAGTAGACACTTTCCGAGCTATAAAGAAAAAATGCTATGGAAAACTGCTGATAAGATAGATTTCCTAAGGTCAAAGAAATAGCTATCAGAACAAGATCATCCGCACACCACTGTAGTCTTTGACATTGCTGAATGGAACGACGCGGTCTCCACTGACGGTACGTCACTTGTTGTACTTGTCGAGTGGTGCGACTGTACACTTGCTTCACGTGTAGGTGTGTAGTATTGTCGGAATTCCTCACGAAAAAGCCTGAAATCAACTACTATTGGCATATATGCTTCCGATAAACTGAACACCTCATTTGTTGATGAGAAAAGCGATAGTTTGTCTACTTGAACAAACTTCATCTGTGGATGCAGTATGTCCTGGAAGACACCTGGTTGTTCGTTTGCACTTGAACTGATTGATAGCACACATAATTTTTTGTCGGGATGAGACAAGAAGAACTGCCCACTAAAATCGCATCTTGAATAGGAGAGAAACCGAATCTTAGTATGACTAAAGCTTCAGAAAATTAAATCCTACATAGAGTCATTCATGGTCATGAAAGCTGTGTCACCATAGCATGCACAACCCCAAACTGTAGTGGGATTCCATAGAAATTGCAAACGTTTAGTTTCACTGTCGTGTTTTTTAAGAAATTTCAGACGAAGAGTATCAAGACGACTTGAATCTGGTGTCAAGGGAAGCTGAAAGAGAAGGCTTTAGAAACTGCTTAGAATTTCATGACATTTCGAAACTTTTTTCTGGATGTTAAGTAAATATCGTCGGGACATATTGCATAAATCATATCACATCACTTTCAATACTTTCATTGAGGGTTTAAGTCCCTCTTTTACTTGCTAGAGATATATTTTATGTTATCTTTGTTACCTCAAATGAAATATAACATGGAATCGCATACTTCTAATAAAGATTAAAGAGTAATATACAAGAGGCCGTTGGTTCGATCCCGTGCCTTGAGCTCACAAAGCCTTCCACCCTCTGGGATCGGCAAATTAATGCGAAATTAGCGATTTTATGCACCTTCGTGAACCCGCGTAGCGCAGTGCTTAGATGTGCTTTTCGACACACATGTCGTTATTGGCCCGATCCAGCGCCCTAGGCTCAACAAGTTTTCATTCCTTCGGGGTCAGCAAATTGGTACCAGACCTCTCTGGGAGGATAGCAGCACTGACTTGATGGATCGGCGTTACACCGAAAGTACAGCGCCACGCAGCTAAATAAATAATAGCGAAAATCAGGAAACAACCGCTTTTCATTGACATATGACTTACGATCATACCATGTTAAGGCTACTGAACACCGCCGTAACTCTTTTCACTTGAAAGACGACGGGTATAAAAAAATAAATTCGGTATCGCTATCTGTTGAAGGTAAAAAAAAGTCACAATGGGAAGCAAAAATAAACTATAAATTTCGTAGTGGTACTACTTCGTCTGGCTATTCCAGTAGCCGTAATACTAGACCTTTAAAGTCAACCTCAAAATCGGTTGTCAAAAATAGAACTCACTTCAATATCCAGTGATACTCCGACTATACTTGTACGAGCACACTCGATCCATGTATTACTTTCAAGGACGTGGAATACTGCAACAACATAAAAACCCCAACATGACCATAGTTTATTATCTCTTTAGAAAAATCTCTACGAAAGCTGTAAAGCCATCGAGAAGATAGTTTTCTCTGCAAAGAATGAAATAAATCATGTAGTAGTAAGAAACAACAATACGTTGTCGGAATGTGACGTTCGGTACCCTGACGCAGATATGTTCCACGAATCTTTTCTCGTGTGCATTGCAAAGAGTGAACCTTATAGGGTCAACCATCGCCTGGAAATTCACTATACTTCATACAATCGTCTTCTAGCAATGATACTATTGAGTGAGGCTTCACAGAAACTCACAGTTATCGCTGCACATTCGTCAGCCAGAGATAACTGTATCCCATCAACGGAGACACGCATTTGACGATACTTTAGTCTGAAGCGATTTCTCCCATCATATCTAGTATTTTACAACGTTCTTGTGTCTAATCTTAGCTCTGTTTAAAAATCTGACAAATCTTCAATGTTTCACATTAGGAAGTGAACAAACCCACCGCTCTTCTGACTCGCATGGACGACCAGGCTGAGATCCAACAGAACACATTTTGTTTTTCTGCCCATGTTGGCAGAATTTGAACTTTTCTGGAACCTTTTTTGCTTCATCTTTCGCGATTAGCAACAGCAATAAAGTGTCGAGAAAATTGACCAATGTGATGATCTAAACGGAGATGGTCTTTGAATGACGAACCAACGAGCATGCTTTTGCGCCAATAGAAGAGACTAGGAGCTCGTTTCATCTGCAGAACTGGACGGAGAGCAGGAACAAAATGACATGCTACGAGAGCAAATAAAAAACAGTGTACTGATGCTGAAGGACGTAACGCATTACGCAAATCAGTGCCGGTGAGGTGCTTCACGATTTCAAATCGGTTAAAAAAGCGTGCGTGCTTAATACGGTACTAAGTTGTAATCAATAATGAGGAGCCTACACCAAAAATAAGCTTTATTCCTGACAAACAACTTAGCTAAGACGCTACGGCCCGTGTGACCAAAAGTTCCGTTGGTCTGCTTGAGCACTGTATCACAACAGTTCAGGGTAGGCAAGTGACAATCTTGAACTGTGCCAAAACCCTCATGTCGAACGCAATTTAAACAAACATAACCTTAACTTCTAACTTACTCCCAGCTACAATTTTTCACGGTACGGCATTACGTGAAGTAGAGCTACAATGATGCTGAGATATTTACATAACTCCGGACAGCAGGTGTCTGAGGATCGAACCTGCTACTACCCTACCTTTCCACGGGCTAACTCGTTCATCACCGCACTATGGGTGTTTTTCTTTCCTTCTTTCTCTCTGCTAGTTTTTTATGTGGCGGTGAACGCTTTAGCACTCGGAAAGAGTAGTAATGTGTTCGATCCCCACCGCAGACACCTGCGGTCCGGAGTTTTACAAATATTTCAGCATCATTGTAGCTAAATAAATATACTTGTTATTAGGATAACCGGAATGAATAGTGACCTTGTATAATGGAAGCAAGTGTGGTCCAATCTAAAATTGAGCCAGTAGGCTACTGAACTGTAGCAATTCGGATACTCCGAAAATGAAACAGGTTTCGCGGTTGGGAAGAGAAAAATGCGGATGAGTGTACTACAACAGTAAATAGGTGTTTTTTAAAAAAATACTTCATATAGTTTAAACCAAGGAGAAATACAGAAAAATGTAGAAGTTGAGCTGACTTGTAAAGGGCTCCCAAAGCATCCACCAACTTCTCCAACTAAAATCTCCGTAAGCCAACAATATTCCACAACTGACATGTCCCATGGACAATCCACAGGAGAAAACATTGCATGTCCCCTTAAGACAAATCATGAAATTGAATGGAACGATTATTAAAATAGATACCGGTGAATCGAATGACTGAATGGTTGGAAGTGAAGTTCGAAGTACCTGAACTGAAAACCAGAGAGTGCCAAATACCCATCGTTATGTGCCGCGGAAGCACGTGAAAAGTATGCGGCGCAGGGAGTAACACCAACCTAAAAATTTCTGGGAAATGAGGGAAGCAAATTTTCAATAAAGGGTTTCTTGAGGAAAACCCTTGTATTGTAAACAAAGAAGAAATTATGAAGCGTTTTGTAACAGCTGTTGCAACAGCATTAGAAGAGTTACTTGACATACAGCAACGGTAGGAACGCTGTTATCTGGTTAGTGTAAACATGCTTACTTTGGATACGAGCTTACAGAAATATAGAGAAGGCAAGCGTTAACACGACGTTTCCAAGCTCTACAGAAGGTAGAGTTCCCTGGAACTTCGTTACTACTATAAGGTCAACAGAAGATTGTAAAAAATACAAGCTGTTTGAAAGTCAGCAGTACAGAGATATGAATAAAGAGATCTTAAAAATCGGTCAGGAGAGCTGCATTGTAAAGAGAAAACGCTTGAGAAATTCTTAAATAACCTGGATCAATGTCTCCTTGAATCCCTTCTTTATTTGCAAAACAATCTCTTCTGTATAGAAGACCGGACAAAACTCTAAAATATCGGAACGTACCGAAAAGAAATAACGGTATAAGAAGTTGAACATGAACGATAAACGTGAAAATTCAGATCGGTTCATAAGATGAAAAGCAATCCAAACCTTGCTCCTCCGAAAAAGACGTGTAGGTGATACAGTGAGCACGAATGTTGGACACTCTCATGTCGAACATAACCTCCATACATCGGTAAGCTTCTACAGGAGCGTTCGGAGGAACTCGGCTGTAAACTGATCGCACTGTCGACGGTTCTTCCGGTTGAGTGACGTCAGTCATCTGATAGAAATTTCAACTTGTCGTGTACATTAAACCTTGTAGCAGCTTAAATGGGGCAATACCCATATGATTGCCGGCGTTACTGGCACCACTACTTTCGCCATGAATTATTACATGTTAAAAACTTATTTATAAAATCGAACGTACCGAGTCATACAACCCGAAGTAGTTGTCTTTAAGTCCAATGATGCACTTGATAAGTGAACCCGTTAATTTCACTTCTGAACCACCAATTTCTAACGTCACATCCATTTTATCAGGGGTAAGCTGCAATAAATTTCCACGAGTGCCAACAATACTAAGCTGTAGGGAAAAGTCAATCAACATCAGGTGAAAGTAACTTTCTTAAAGGAAGCTTACATCTTTCGGATGATCCAGCGACTTCGGCAGAAACTCCTGCAACACGTGAGACGGAAGATCAGAAGCGATTTTCGAAACAGTAGGATGATATGAGTACTTAATTACAGCATTGATGCTCTCTGTACGCCAAATTTCATGCCATTCGTCCTAAAAGAAACAAATCAGCCGCATGTTACAGAATTGTGTTGACTGAAGGTACCACATTTATTGAGTGCTTCCCATGTCGTGAAGGAGTGCAGTATGTACTTGTATGTGCACCCCGTGAAAGGGCTGCCAATATCGGTGCCATTGCGCTTCCTACAGGATATCGTACCCGTAATGCGAGACCACTTCCCATATGAATTGTATACGTAGAAGAAACTATTTCAGGCAGAAAATCATTGAACGACAGCGTGAACGCTAAAACACACATCTATTTTCCATTTTATCACACAGTATATATATATATATATATATATACGTATATATATGTGTGCATGCACATAAATAAGAAAGGATAAAGCTCTCGGCGTTGATCTATCCCTGAGGAATGCATCGTGCATACTTCATTAAGCATCGTTGGAGATGACTGAATGCGTGTCTGACCACTACAATGACTCGCGGTGGCCTATCGATGTATCGGATCATTGCTGCTATCCTCCCAGAGAAATTTGGTGGCAATCTGCTGACCCCAGAGGGACAGAGGACATGGTGGGCCTGGGGCGCTGGGGTCGATCGTTTGCGCACTACAAGGCGTCTCCAACCACTGCGCTACACGCGCTCCTCATGCCCCTCGCTCCAATGTACACATAGCATGCATGCTATGTTACAAATAGAATAAGCGAAAAAAGAATAGGGCAATTGCATGACTAACGGTCGGTATGGTATTTAACATAGAATGGTATAATATCTCTCCAGATACAAATGTACTGTTTTCCAAATATCTCAGCAACGTTGTGGTTGTATTTCGCCTAGTACCCTGACGCGAAATTATAGTAGGCAGAAAATAAAAAGGTAAAACCTACAGATATTAAAATGGCTACCGACCAAGGCCGCCTCCACATTTTCAGGATCTTTCTCTGACGGATCCACCCAATTCGACTCATTTAGGAGAAACACTCCCTAAAATAATTACGAAGCATTAAAACTTATGATGGAAATTTCACAAATCTGAGGATCTAAGGAAACGACATACCTCAAAACTGTCAGCGATATCAAAATCAATCGATATTGTGTACGGTATAAAAGTAACGAGATCTGAAGCAGAATCCCCAAAGAACTCGTTTATAAGATCCTAAGAAAACTTTTAATAAACCTCGTAAAAGAAATCACTTCTAAAAAGTAAAGTTTTCACCCTCTCTCACCGGCGGAGGAAACGAATACTGAAACAACCTACAGAGATAAATTTCTGGTGGTCCCAAACAAGCCAGCAACAGCATTTGCTTAATTGGAATTTGAAATCCCACGCTTGTTTCGCGTTAAACACCTAAATCACAATGTTAGTCTTCTTTTTTCTGCCTACTATAATATAATATGTAATAAATGTATGTACAATCTATATAGTAAAGCCTAGACATAATAAAAGTGAACATTGTGATTTCGACTACAATCTAAGCTTAACTAGGTTCAATCTCTATTTGGACTTCCCAGATCAATCCCGTTGAGGGGTGAATGCTGATGGCACTAGTAAATAGAAAACTAGCTGAGGAAAACACAGAGCAAAGGCCTCTGTGGTGCAGTGTGTAATGTGCGAGTCCCCGGAAAGGGAAACGTGGTTTGATCTGGCCCCGGGTCCAAGTTTTCCCAATATCCCAGCATCGTTATCGTTTTAAATACCTAAGTTTGCAATAAATTATGAAAATTCAAGTAACAAATTCAAAACCATAGTCATCCTTCGAATAAATGTAAAAAACTAAGGATATACCTTCGGGTAACAAAAATTGGCCTTGATAGTAAATGTCTCCGCTTCCATAAGCTTACGATACGGAAGAGATGACGTACACTCAAGCTTCAAAAGCGAAGTGTGCATATTCCAGTTAAATCCGTCCTCTTTGATTATCCACCAGATTGACAGCTACAAAGAAGAGAAACTCAGGCTTTCCACATTTGCGAAAGCTTCCACAGCAATAACAGATAGAAGGAAGAATAGTCTTCGTTAGCAAACCAGAAGTATTGGAAAAAAAAAATTTTACAACTTGGTTATGAGAAAACCTACATCAATCGTGCTACCGGGCTGACATCGACTGTGCACACTTTCCAACTGGTCATCTTTCATAAACCAAATATCAATGGAAGTTTCCTTTAAGAGTGAGATGCGTACATCAAGCATTAGATGTATACGTCGCTTACCGCGTTTAGGAAGCTCATCGGGCACAAGAGTCTGGAAGCTAAATACGTGTAAGCCAAGCATATGTACATCTATATATACACATCGAAACACATTCATATATAGATACACATGTATGCATACATATAATATGATGTGAAATTCAATCACTATGATGCTGAGATGAAAAATGGCTGAGAGAAAGGCTAAATGAAGGAGCCACATGGCGTGGTGGTGAACACGTTAGGCCCCGGAAAAGAACACCGCGTTCGATCCCTGCTGTAGATACCTGCCGTCCGGAGTTTTTCAAACATCTTAGCATCACAGTAGTTATATGAATACAATTGTTCCTCTATCCTACCTGGTAATCTGATGGAAAGAAGAAGCTATAAATTAACGCTCGCTGATGCTCAGCCCATGGGGCATACGAGATTACAGTATTGTGGTCGAAACGTAATATTGATTCCCAAATAGGGCGTTGGTCCGATAAAGACTGCTCGTCCACAGTGACATAACCTAGAAACACAATATTCGGCATTGCAATAATATGCTGCAGGAAAGGGTGTTACGGAGTGGTTAGAGGTGCCTCTCATTATACATCTGGTCGTTGTTTTCATTCAGTGTCCTGTGCTTACTAAGCCCTCCATCTCTCTTGGAGCATCGGTAGGAAACCAAAAGTCATTGTATAGGCAAAGTATGGATTCATTCATCTCAAACGATGTTTAACAAAGTCACATGCTTAGCACATTAGTTAAGGATCGCTTAAAACACATAAGCTTATCTCAACTGATGGTATTACCTCCACCGATCCATCAAAATCTAAAGTTAGACCTATGATCAGTTACATAGGCGGTTCAACGGATAAAATAGGGTGGTTCCTAAACCTTATCCTGACTCAGTTGCTAAAACTCACTTCAACCCATTTACCTAATGCCAAAATATTCCTAGACCATCTACGGTGCGCGCAACCAAACAGCAAGTATGTAATGGAGTCATTCGCTATTACTTTCCTTTATACCAATGTATCGAATGATTCCGAAATGCAAGCCATACTCGAGGTGCTTGTAGAACAAGAAAAGAAATTAAACATGTACGGCTTGTCGATTCAACAACTAATGACTCTCTTAAAACAGTGTCTCGGTTGTTCAATATTTAGGTGGTCCGGAAAATATTTTCACAAATTGGAGGGTTGGCCGCGGGACAGCGATTGGCAATAAGCTTTGATATCGCATTTAAGTATAAGGCGGAAGCACCAGTCCTCGATCGCTGACCCTTACCGTACTGTCGATACATAGACGACTGCTTCATCGTCTGTTCCACACAAGAACAGATGGATGAGTGCTTTGAACCGTTAAATAGTCAGTCAGAGTATACCTGATTCACACAGGAAAAACCAACCGAGAACTCGCTTCCATTCTTAAACATCCAAATAAAGCTCTCAGAAAGGGGCTACATAACAAAGTGGTATCGATAACCAAGTTGTAAAAATATATTAGTGCATTACCTTTTCTCTCATCCTACAACAAAAACATGTACCAAACGGCTAAAAAACTGTGCACAGGAGAAGAGGAAAGGAAGGAATCACTAAACCTGGCACAAAAAATATCCATTTTTAATGGTTACGAAGTAGAAGCCACTCCGGTTAGACAAAAACGTAGGGTAATTCCCAAAATAATATTTCGGACGTAAGTAAGATCCTCTTTAAGCTACCCTTCATACCAAATGAAGTAAATTACGCCATTAAGATGTGCTTAAAAAAAACTGGTCTTGAAAATTATGTAACAATTATTGACATAACCAACCAATACCCTACGCCGCCAGTTAGTTCGAAACCGTCTCCATGATCGCTTGTGCAGCTCAGAAAACTGTATGATCTGTCCTAATGGGAGAGACGGGGATTGCATGAGTTTAGGTATAATATACTTGATCTCATGAAATGCATGCGGCGAGGAATATATCGGGGAAACGGGTAGACCACTTTGTGTCCGCATAAAAGAACATCTAGATGGGAAAGTTAAAATCCGTCTAAACACTCGTCTAGGCACGCATAGAGCACAAAGGCACAACGGCGACGACTTTGAAGTGACTGTGCGGATCCTAGCGCAGGAATCAAAAACATCAACGCGCAAAACTCTTGAGACGTTTTGGATAAATTTCCAAAATCCAAAGAGGAACCGGAAAGACGAATGCCTAACTATCACGCGTGAACTGGCACCCTATTTCAAAATGATATTTTGACCTCGGGCTGTGTCTTGCTTGCGACCCCACGTGAACTACGTGTGGGCCGGCCCCACACATAACATCACGGTGAGTGGCCTTTCTGCTCAATATGGCGTCTATTTGAAAGTTTAATCTTCATTAATACTTTGACCTTTTTTCCACCAAATAATAAAAATATTCTAATATAAAATACGTCCAGGCTGTGAGGAAGTCGAAGTCGCCGAAACGTCAGCAATCGACCAACAACACCAACAACAACGACAACGACAACAAAAACCTATACCAACTTCGCATCAACTCGAAAAGATCACTTAGATTCCAGAGATTTAGAATCTAGAGAGATAGAGAGAATTAGAGATTGATCAATTCCGTCAGCTCTATACTTCATCCCGTTATAGTAATATGAAGGATAAAGGATAAAGCTTTCGGAGTTGATCAATACGTGATGGATGCGCCACGCATTCGACGTCAGCAGATATTGTTAGAGGTGACTGAATGCATATCTAGCCAAGACAATGATTCGCAGTGACCTACTGATATATTGAGCCAGTGCTGCTATCCTCCAAGACAAGTTTGGTAGCAATTTCCCGATTCCGGAAGGATGGAAGGTTTGTGGGCCATAGGCGCGAGGATCGATCTTGTGCGTGTTGCATGGCGCCTCCTGAGCGCAAAGTCCGGGTTCGATCCTGCCCAGTGTCAAAAAAGTCAGAATGGGAAAAAAATTGGATGAAAGAAGTGATGGGATCCGCCCAAGATGTGTAGACTCGTGCAATAAATGTATACGTTTCATATGGCAAACACTTCACATGTAATATTATATACCACAAGTTACTACACTGTAAATAATACATTTTTAAATAAGTAATCGGAAAAAAGATTACGTCAAAAATACGCACCTAATATATCTTGACGGTAGAAAAAGTGTAAGAGAGCACTCTGTAAGATTGCAAAACCGTCACCCATAGTACGGGGTGGATCCTGTAAGAAATAAAGGTATTCTTCTTAAATTCTTCGATAGAAATCGTTAGAAAACCAACTTTATAAGGTTTCCCTGTATAGTCGGGGTGCTTTAGAAAGGCAGCACGTACACTCTCCGCTTGCCCTTCAACTGAGAGTAATGCTCGATCTGCTGCCGATTCGCACAAACGAATCCTACCTGCATTGGTATATGCTTTCGAAATAAAGCCTATAAACTTTTACGTTAGCCATAAATCTCACTATTCATGTTTTCCATCGAAATGACGAGCATATATGGCAGAAGTTTATTACCAATTACAACTCGCCCTGACCATATGTCTAGTTTAATTACGCCCACCAAAGACCATATACGATCCCAATAAGCCGAAGGAGCAGCGCTAAAGTGAAAAGTGGTTAAGACCTATTTATGAAACAACTAATTGATAACACACATTTGTAAACTGTGTAGTAATGTTCTTGCAGAGCTGTTCCTTTCAATATGGGAAATCTTACCACAAATTTCCATGGCCTATTTGCCACATGGTAAACTACAACATTACTCTATTACACTGCTTCAAAGAAAACAAAAACAATGGCATATTTTGAATAAAGGATGACTTATACCCTAGACAGTTCCTTAAATATGTTTTAATACTTCAATACTTGGATGGCAAATCTTTACTGGTTGTGCGAGCGGCAGCACAATCTCCATTTTTCGGAGAATTGCTGGTTAAGCCATTGTGGTTCCCTGTAATTCCGAGGTCGATCTGGCCAAAGTGTGTCCCAGGTCTTCACCACCACAGGGAGTCGTAGCCCTTATGGATCAGACGGAGATTTACCACCACGCGACTACTTCGTTAGCAGCACGGTGGCTAATTGTGGTTTTGGTCTACTCTTGACAGAGCTTCCTGATGGGAACACCGGACTCCTTTTCAGCTTGGGATTGGGATACCTTGCCAGGGGGATGAACCACACGCTGTACATCGCAGCCCCACACCCAAGAACATCTTCCAGCCACGACAAGTCGGTAAATCGTTGGAAAGACTTGTTTACTAAACGTTTTACTATATTTGTGCCAACCATTTTCAAGAAAACATGAAAAAAGTAGCGCATTTTAAGGAAAAGAACAGGTAAAACCTGTCTATTGGCACAGTCTTCTTAACATCAATCTCGTCGCCAAAGATCTTCTCCATCCGAAACAGCTTAGCGATTTCTTTATATCGTTGTAAGCGGTTATATATGTGAATCTGCACACCGTTCAAAGAGAAGTGAAGCCGCGATACATTGCTGTAAACGTAAAGGAAAATATTTGGGTTTCAGTACTCCATTACAAAAGATATTTGAAAGGGAGAGGGGATAGAGTGTACAAACGGACCTTGTGAAACATATTTTCCGTCCTGGAACAAATCTCCAGTACGAGAATACCACCCAAGCATCGTTAATTCGTACTGAGTAGTCTTCATTTGCGAACAAGAACTAGAAGATAAATGAATGGTAAACATAATATACAAGTCTGACATCACAACTCAAGAAAAACCTACATCTTTGAACATAAGTTTTCCACTCAGCAGACTAATAGAGAAGCTCGTTAACTTGATATTTCCTGAAGTTTTTGTGAAGCGAAGATATCTGAAAGCGGATGGTAAAAGGAAACGCTGTTTCCCACATGTCGATAGAAAAAACCACTTCTCTAAAAAGACTTCAATCAGTCCTTTTCCTTTTCTTCGATTTTTTCAATCTTTTACTGATTATTACTACCGAGGAAACTTTCAGTACAATGACCCATATACTCACCTAATTAAAGACAGGCTTGCAAACAATCTTGTATAAAAACCATATTTTGGTTTCCATCCATCAAAACTTTGTTCGACACAATCATATGGTTTAATAATGTAACTGTTGCGAGTACTAATAAAAAAAGGACAAAGCTATCTGCGTTGATCAATCCGTGAGAGATGCACTATGCACTCGACTTCGTCAAGCATCGCTGGAGGTGATTGAAGGCATATTTGGGCTTTACAATGACTCGCGGTGGCGTACCGAAGTAACGAACCAGTGCTACTATCCTCCCAGATAACTCTGATACCAATTTGCCAACCCCGAATGGATAGAAGGCTTGGTAGACGATGCGCGCGAGAATCGATCCCATTTGTATTGCAGGGCGCCACCGACCACCGCGCTTTACGCGACATGTATATGTACATATATGTATATATGTATGTGTATGATTCCACAATTAATACAGGAATTGTGGATTTACTTTTCATTGAAATGTCCTCGCAGTATTTTTTCAAAGGTTCTAGTACATCAATGCAAAGCTTACTTTATGTTTTCGCTCCGTATGATTGAATTATAACGAGTTTTGCATCACCTATCGCTATAATTAGCCACAAGTACTTATTCCCTGAGACTTCGGCTGCGTTGTAGAATTTAACAATATCCACGGGGCATTCAGCGATTACCTTTGAGATGAAGGAAAGATACAAATCGAAATTAGGATGGAAGAGGCACAATTCCACTTTCATCTGCATTTGTACATACTAGGTATATATATATTTATATATATACATATATATATATGTATATATATATGCATATATATAATATACATGTGTAGCCAAAAATACATGAGCATTCAGCAAATGTAGGACTGCATATAAATTCGAAAAAAAACTGTGGAAAACTGACGGTGCGAGGACAACCATACTGAACTGAATAGTTGTTCTATCCACACAAGCTACATCTTAGATCTACCTGGTGCAACCCATGAATACGGAAAACGATAGAAGGAATAAGGAATTGTGCGGAAGTGCAGCACCAACTCCGTCACTAGGTCTCTCAGAAAAGCCAGCTACCATACAAAAGACCTACATGTCATGCAGACTTTTCTAAATCAACGGTCCAAAGTTGTGCTATGCAGCGGAGATGTGAGATGACACTTCATCACGTCAAAAGTTCTGGGCATCAGGTACAAAACCCTTCAAATATTGTAATCTTAAATGCAACCGGCACACGAAACATGTAGTAGTACTTCGCAGTTCGCATCATGGAATGTTGTCCCATAATCTAAGTACAGAAAAGTACACACTTCTGAAGAGGACGAAGTCATTGAAGGCAATCACTATTTCGAGTTCTTTTCTGGAAAATTTCCGACATAGCAATTTGTCCGGATTCTTGTGAAAGTGCTAAGCGATAGGCGAGCTGTCGTTTGCGTCTGGTGAATAAGGCAGCTTTGGTGCACAACTCCTTCAACTTTTGAAGAGCCAGCAATGTGAAGAGTAGCAGTTCGTTATCGTGGAAACGAGCCATTCAGTTCGTATGTTATCTAACTGTCGATCTTTTTTGACTTTGCAGTTCTCTTCAAATGCTTCGAAACAGCTGCAATGCTTAAAATTAGTTGTCCTGAAAGTTCACGAACATTTGTGCGTGTATTCTTTCTTTGATGAGCTTACACGAGGTTGATAATGATGTTTATTTTCGGCTAACGTTTCGAAGTCTTCGTCTTCCTCAGAGCCGATGATCCGAGTCGATGGTCCTCGCTTGTTATTCGTCTCGACGTGGCAGCTTCGCCTTGACGATGCACGATGCACGATGTGCGCAATGATGTATGTCCGGAAGAAAAACAAGTTGTTATCACCGGACATTATCATTATATCGACCATCAGCATTGTGTATAAAAGGGCACCACTGAGTGAGGATGCCTCATTCGAGGAGACGGCTCACTGAAGAAGACCTGACTCGACACGAAGGCGAAACTGCCACGTCGAGACGAATAACAAGCGAGGACCATCGACTCGGATCATCGGCTCTGAGGAAGACGAAGACGTCGAAACGTTAGCCGAAAATAAACATCATTATCAACCTCGTGTAAGCTCATCAAAGAAAGAATACATATTGATTAGTGATACCGAGGTTCAAGGAAAGTCGGTTTCGAAATATTTGTGCGTGTATTTACTTCCATGGAAGCTTTCAACGCATCGTGGTTAATGGCAGAAGGATGTCCACCACCTTCCTCATATTCAACATCAAATTCCTTATGGCGAAGTTTTTGAAACCAGTGACGCATTAAGCATTCGCTTGCAATTCCTTAGCTCTATACCACATTAGCGCTTCCAGCCATTTTCACTGCATTATGAGTAGGTTTAAACTCGCAAAAGACAAATTTGTCGGGATGGCTCTTTGGATATATGAATTGTCAACTTGTAAAACTGATCAAAAATACAATTTAAACTATAATTCAATCATACTGAACGAAAACTCATAAAATAAGCTTAGCACTGGTGTATAACACCAGAGCCTTTGAAAAAAATTACTGCTAGAACATTTCAATGAAAATAAATCCACAAAACCTGCATTAATTCCCGACCCTGACATATGTTTACATATATATGTACATATATATGAATGTGGGCGTGTGTGGCGCTGTGGTCGGAGGAGCCCTGCAACACACATGGGAACGATCCCCACGCCACAGGCCGACCAAACCTTTCCTCCCACCAGGATCGGCAAATTGCTACCAGATTTCTCTGAGAGGATAGCAGCAATGACCCGATACATCGATAGGCCACCGCGAGTTATTGTAAAGGCCAGATATACATTCAGTCACCTCCAACGATACTTAGTGAAGTTGAACGCATGGTGCATCCCTCAAGGATTGATCAACGCCTAAAGCTTCATCCCTTACCTTTTTTATATAGATGCACATGTACATGTAGATGCATATATATATATCTACATATATATGTATATATATATATACATATATACATGTGTGCAAAATCGAACATATATGTATATATATATACATATATACATGTGTGCAAAATCGAACACATGGGGAGTTTCACTACTGACGGATTCGTGTGCGTCAATAAAAGCTAGGTTCAAAACTCTTGGCAGAAGGTCACTTTCTTATAAAACCATACAAAATTATCTTAATCAATACAGAGGAAAAGCTATAATTAACTGCGGTCATAGACTTTAAATAATCCTAGTGGCCGACTTAAGACTATCCTTGGTGGTGCCTTCCCCGGGACTAACTGAACATAAAGTAACCTTTTAAGGGTTTTCTAAAAACCAGAACATACCTGTTCAATAAGAAAGAAACAATCGGACCAGTTATTCTCGAGAAATAATATGTGAGAAAAATTATCCACGCCTCAAAAAGCACCAAAGAAGACAACAAGACCCAGAACGATCTCTAAAATAATGAACAAAATTCACAAACGTCCAATCACTTAGATGAAAGCGACAAGAAATGTGGATTACCTTCTCCGGATCGATCGTCCCGTCGTCAAGCTTGAACTTGATCGTGCCGAAAATGTCGCCATGATGTCCATAACTAACGTTCATTACGGCATCAAGCCTTACAAATGACACATTCTATTCAGAAATCAATACAAAAGAATAAACTAGGTACATCTTCTATAAGATCGAAATAACGACAAATACTTAGTACTGCATAAGACAAAGATGGTGGATGGGATTGTGATCAGAAGATTTCGGTGTGTTCATACTTCGTAGACAGCAACAGCGACAAAACGCGCAGAAAAACCCCTCTACAGGTTACACGATCCGCCATGTTTGAACGTGTATGCTCTTGTCAATGGTTTTAACTCGAAAATATTTGTTCTCTAGGTTACCACTTTGACTAAGTCTTCTATCATGGTGGGTTTCTTACTAATAAAGACGAATCTCATCTTCAAATCAGTAGAGAAAAGATTAGTAGGAAAGCTCATTGTTCAGGAACGATGTGAATCAGCAGTTGACCATTATGTTTCCGTTTTAATTTTTTTATAACCCTACACTAGCCCCTTGGTGATTCAATAACGGTATCCGATTAAGAGGAGTCATTTCACCGTATTAAAAGTTTTTGTAATTGACCACGTTCTCTCAACGAAGGGCAGAAGCATCGATTCACAGTAGGTAAACTACTTTTTAGCACTGGACAACTTTCCTCGGCAGGTTTATTCCAGAGTAAATAAAATAACAGCTCGTTTTTCTTCACAACAAGGTTCACACAACACAACAACAATACATACAGAACAAAAGCAGTACTTTAGTGGAGTCACGTAAAACGGCGAGAATAGTCGCAAAATAGAAAGTCTATTCTACTGAGAATGAATGCTACTGGAAATTTACTTCACCGAAAGCGATCTCAAGGGTTACGAAGGCGTTATTGACAGGACTGGCACGCGCTTTGGCTTCGGCTAACAACACCAGCAAGAGAACGAAGATAACGTGGTCTAATCGATATTGTGGTGCTCTGGGAATGATCCAAGCAATTGTCCGAAGTCGGTGGCTGCAAGAGGGTCTTGTAGCTCTCAACTCTAAAAAACGTGCTATATTGAGTCCTTGGGAAGCAAATGCTTTTCTTTGTACTTTTTAAGAAGGTTTTGTTAAATTGCCATAAACCATTTTTATTTGTATGACCGCAGACTGCAAATATTCTTCAAATTTCAGTACTTCTTCCATTCGGTTCGTTTTTCGCATCATTCATCCATGAAAGTTCTAGAATTTACGTGTATTCAGCTACATTTTGAGGATTTCATCTTTCTCATCAAGGTGGCAAAGTGCTGGTTGGATTGATTTTCCTTGAAATCCTTCAAGAGCTCCATTACACCACTTCCATGTCTTCAACACAGACATTCGTGGACCCTTGTGGGTGGATTTGATGGTACTTTTCACAGGGCAAATCTGACGCTGACTTTCTGAACGCGCGACAATGGACGGGTCAGATGGGCCGGTGAGCGTTCGAAGCAGCAAGCTAGCATTCCGTAGTGGGTTCCTGGGGGGCGACATGAGTTGATTTCCACTCATACGATGCGAAGAAAACGCCAGGTTTAAACTTTGAACCAACCTATCTAGAGCTCAAAGTGAACTTTATTGATTGTAATAAACTGTATTATTGTGCTTATTTCACATCAGCTAACACCTATACAACACTGTGCGGATTCCAGCCCGTGTTGCATTCGATCCTTGCATCTGTCACGTCCACAAAGTTCTTCGAAAAGCTTTTTTTTTGCGTATGGCTTCGGTTGCTGCTTCAGTATTCATCTTGACGAGTGTTATTGATTCCTGGTCGAGTCTATTCCACTTGGAATCCTGGGATAGCCGTGCTAAAGTGTCCCCACAAGCAGTGGAAGGAGTCAACTTGTACCAGACAAGTCTGGTGCGAATTTCTTGGCTTCAGAGACATGAGCGACTTGGCAGGCCGTGTGCAGGGTCGAAGCAAAGTCTCGGTGGCTTGGGCCGTACGCGTAATGAACGGAGCATTTTTTCGATTGAATGACCCGTTCTCACTAGTTGTGCGGCCTCAGCATAATCTCCATTTTCGGAGTTTTGCTGGTTAAGCCATTGTGGTGCTCTGGTGTTCCGATGTTAGTCGAGCCAAAGTTTGCCCTAGGTCGTCAGCACCACAGGCTGTCGCCGCCCTTGTGGATAGGAGGGAGATTTTCCATCATGCGACTTTGATACCGGGACGGTGGTGGATCATGGTATCGGCTTACTCTTAGCTGGGCTTCCTGATGCAAATGCCAGATTTCTTCTCAGCTTGGAAGGCCTTGCCGGAGAGATGAATGCCACCGCTGTAAATCGCAGCCCAACACCCAGGAAGGCCTCCTAGCCACGAGTAAGGCGGTGAATCGTCGGAAGGAAAGAAGGCTGTTAGAATCTACAATTTTTTACCTACAGGATAAATGCTCTCGTGTTTTACCACAATGAAATTCTATTTTTCTGGAGCCTAGTAAAGTTGTTGTAGTCATTTTTTTTCATCAAGGCTCATATTTTGTAAATGGAAGCAATTTTTTCAAACTGTGTTTCATCCATCAGAACACCATGACATGCCCGAGTGTGTTGTTGATGTTTATGGGTTGTCTTGGCTTATTGGGAATCTCTTTGTCCTTTGTTCTTCCTACGTTTTTATCTTACTGTGACGCTCGAGAGACCATATATCACAGTATGTGACATTCATATGTGAGATACTATATGGAAATAACAAGCATTAACTAGTATTGATATGGTTATCCAAGGTGGAGTTCCCAAGAAAATTCGCGGCGATTTTCTAGGACAAGGAACGTTATTTAACCCTAACTAGTAAATACTCGCAACCAGATTAATACAACTGCAATGTTACTACAGCCTCAGCTTAACTGGGTTCAATGCCTATTTCGGTTCCCAAATAAATCCCGTTGAGTACTTGCTGAGGGCACTGGTAGATAAAAACTAGCTGGTAAAAAGGTGAAACGAAGGACCCGCATGGCTTGATGATGAAAGCGTTAGCCCTCGGGAAGGAAAATAGTGTGTGTTTTGCAAATCAGTCAGCATCGTTGTGGTTACATTTCACATCATAACCTGCCACAGGGGCATAACCACAATACTCGCAACTGGCTGGTCGGAGGCCCCCTGCGACACGCGTGGAATCGATCCCAGCGCCCAAGGCACACAAAGCCTTCCATCTTTCCGGAGTCGGCAAATTGCTGCCAGACTTGTCTGGGAGGATAGCAGTACTGGCTTGATAAATCGGTAGACCACTGCGAGTCATTGTAAAGGCCAGACATGCATTTATTCACCTCCAATGATACATAATGAAGCAGAATGCATGGCGCATCCCTTAGGCATAGACGAACGCCGAGAGCTTTATCCATTTTATCTTTTTTCTACCCTTCCATGAAAAAAGGGTGGGCAAAAGTGATTGCATTACTTCTCAGTATTTTACAAACCGACCGTCATAAGGTAAATGACCTTGGTATCGGTAGGAAAATAAGCATGTTTAAACATCGGAAAACGTTAGCCGAAAAAAGCTAGTTTATCATCCTCATGTAAGTTCAACAATTTAAACACATTTTGCTTATTCCTCAATTCTTCAGGCAGTTTGAATCTCCATCAAGTCCAGAATTGAAGAAGTGTTTTGGAAGAATTAGAGCAATAAGGCAGCACGTCTTACAAGTTGATCAAGCTCTCGACAAAATTGCTAAAGTGAAGTGAACCCAGTCGTCACAAATACATTCAGACACTAGTGCTGAGGCATAATTTGATTTCCTAACGGACTTGATGGTTCTTTGACAACATACAACAATTTCGAAATGAATTGCATTTTATGTCTATTTATACGATCTTGTAAACTGGTCTTCTTAAGCATGCGAGGTTGGTACAGGTCTTCGTTGTCGTTTTGCTATTGGTGTTGTTGGTCAATGGCTGACGTTTCGACGATTTCCCCTTCATCAGAGCCAAGCTGTTACGAATTGGACTTTAGACTCTAGACTAGACTCTAAGACCTATACCAACCTCGCATCAGCTCAGAAAATCAGTTTGTAAGATCGTATAAATAAATCTATTTTAATTTATCTACTATTTATGCCGAGGTTCATAGAACGTCGGTCTTTTGAACTATTTCATCTTGTTTTAGGTCCATTTTCGTTCCCATTCTAGTGTGCCCGCCTATTCCATGCGAAAAGTATGACCCATTGTAGCGATTAAAATCGATGTAACGGTTATTTACTGATGAAACTACCAGTCAGTGATCTCATTTGGGAAAAAGGTTTCAGGATATCCGTTTCTGGATATGCAGGTACAGATTAGCGCTTTTCTGAGCAAACGCCTTGCACAAGATCTGTTTTCGATAAGCTATCTAATTATTGCAAAATCTGCAGCAAAGAAGCTCTATGCAGTAAAACAAAGGACCGAACAAAGAAAAAGAGTCACATAAAGCTCAAATTGGCCAGTTTCCGCGGTAGCACTTGAGTCATTTATGGCCTACCTCGTCGTCAGTGCGTTACCGTTGTCGGATATACAGGGCTTGGTGATTTGGATGCAAGCATTGTGTTAGGCGATTTCACAACATTTATTTTCAATTATACCGAAAGCCTTGTACTTTTCCTTAGTTGGTTGTTTTTAGTAAACGTTAAACTCGTTGCAGTACAAGTAGATCTAAAATATTGCGTCTTATCTCTATCTGAGCTCTATCTTCTGTTAGTGGATTCAGTGTACCAATAAGTGTTGAGGTTTGGTAAAAAAAAAAAAGAGTTATTCGCCTATATTGCGTGTGTAATGCAGTGGTTAGAGGTGCTACGAAAGACAGTCATGGTCGTTGGCTGGACCTTTCGCCTTTGGTTAGTCCTGCCCTCCCTCTCTCAGATTTCGGTGGATTAGTATGAGGTAAACCTCAAAGCACTGACTTCACACGTCGGTAGACCTTGTAAGTCGTTTTAGGGTGATTATGCATGCAGTCGCCGCAGCACTTAATGGGGTGTAACGCATAGCACGTCCTTCAGGGTTAAATAAGGGATAAACGCTCTTCCTCTTTAATACAAGGATAGCCTTGAGATTTATATTTTGGCCGTGATAAAATGCAT